GTATACGAGCGATACCACGTGATACTTCGTCCTCTCTGTCTGTTGAATGATCGACGCATGCGCAGAGAGGACGAACATTACTCGTCTACCTTTCTCTCTCGCACACATCTTGGACACAGTTTTCGAGCGAGCCAACATTTTCCCTCCATGTCTATATACTCAAAGGCACACCATGCTATCCCTTCCACCATGGCGATAGCCATTGTAAAAGAAGAAGAAGACGGATAAATATTCATCTTGCACGTATGTCGCGATGGCTGCTCCAGTGAAAAAGCGTGAAATTCAACAAAAGTTGCGCGATGACGAGAACCGCGTCTCGTCCAGCAGCGAAGACGAGGAATATGAGATCACGAATGAGCAGGTGAGGGATTGCAAACTCCCATCGACAAGATATGCCATGACAATCGAACGGTTAACCTCACTCGGCGAGCACGCGGTCACGTACTTCTGCTACATAGATTCATAGTTCGTTTTATCCGAATGTGATATCTGGTATATGATATATATACGCGAAAATCATTGTCGAAGTAATCTCGTGTAGGTGAAAGCTTTGTTCAATTCTTGTTCTGCCACGATTACCACTCGATATGGAACAAAATATTGTCTATATGATTTTTAATATTCAATGTATATCTAGATTCTGGCTGTCGGTGGAAAATTATATATTTTACTTACGAAAGCTTTACTTATGAAGCTTTAAATTGATCTGCATTCTGCATTTTCAAAAATATGTCTATAGATTAGTCCGTGTTACTTGAAATTACCAAAAATGTTTACAAAATGTTTAAAAAATAAATATATCTATTGATTTTGTCAGACAATATAAAAAGATAGAAAAACTAGATTATTAATGACTAATAATTTTCTAACTGATATTTATATATGAGTAGAAATTGAAACAAATGTATTTCCAACAAGTTAAATTTTTACAGTTTAAATTTTTATGCAATATATATGTATAATAAGCTATTTATTAATGATAAATATAATGTTATACAAGATATATTTTTTATTCTGCTTCCAATCTCGAATTGAACCAAATTTTATTAGTTTAAGCTATTGGAGCGTACTGCATTCCAAAAAGTATACTGGAAATTATTGAAAAAATTAATGAAGCAATCCCTATTTCTGGGAATATTAACTAATAATATTGCAATAATTTGAAGAATATCAAAAAATTAAGAAATATACACAAAAATGGATAAATGATTCTTGCATTTACATTTTTGTTATAGTATACGCACATATGTTACACCATATTATGTAAGAGTAATTTTTTTAAGTGTATACATATACATATGTTATGCGATATTGTATAAGAAATCAAGAGATGCAATAGAAGTTTGAAAGTATCTTTCATATTTTTTAAGCAAACGATTAAGATTGTGATATAATTCCACAGTAGGAACAGCAAATTGTATTTTTATTTTTGCAACATAAAAAAATATGTGAAAAAAAATATTGACTTAAATCTAATAATTAGATATCTGTAAATTAGTATAATATAAAATTGATATAGCTTATGGTTGCTTTTTAATTCATTTAGAAAAACTTGTAACTAAATGTGTGTAGTACACTTTATTGTTATATTTTTATCCGAGCAGGAAGTCAATATTTTTCAGTTGAGGCAATCTTTCAACATTTTTATCTGATTCAAACTATATCAAATTATATATCATTACATTATAATCTCGTGATCATCACTGTCATCAGCACTGTCAAACTGCCTTCCATAAATGTTAATTTTTATGAAGTTTAGTTATATACTATATAATTAATATTATATCTATCTACTTTATAAAACAAGACAATACAATACTATAATAAGAATGAATTTTAGGGAATGGAGTTTCAAGTGGATTTTGAAGGTCGCAATCCACAAGATCCAGACTATCATGGAATTCAAACATTGCTGAAACAACTTTTTCTCAAAGCACACATTGATTTGGGTGGACTGACGGATTTAATAATTTCTCAAAACTACGTAGGATCAGTTGTTAAACAGTCTGAAGAGATAGATGAATCTGACGATGAGGACAATGACGTCAATGACGTATTTGGTATTACAACTGTTATTAATGTCTCCGATAAACAGGTAAATAAAATGGGTAATGATATAACACAGTTCAACAAAAAAAAACTTTTGAACACCAGAACGAGTCATTTTTGGATGTTGAATATGAATTCAATTATTAAATTGTTGCATTTTGAGAAATTTGCAAAAAACCTTTTATTTTGTTATATAACTACGATATTTACACACTGGAGAAATTTTATTACCTTTAAAATTAAATATATTGTTAAGACTTTTAGCCTTCAGAAGGAATTTTTTTGTATTGGCTATAACTAACAATAAGATATTTATGATTAAATATGGAGATATTATTGCGTAAAAATTGTAAATTAGTTTATTAACAATTTATAAATAGCTTTTAATTCTGTTTATTTAAACTTGAATGTTTTTTAACCAATACTCAATACAATTCTGATGTCAAAATCGATAAATTTAAAAATAATGGATTCAACATAGCGGACATCAAAATTTAAAAAATGTTTGGATTGCGAAAATTGATTTAAAAGTCTTTTATGACTTTTATACTGAGTATAAATCTAATGACATTCAAAATAAAGAGTGAAATTAAGTTATATTTTAGTTTTTTTAAGGGGTTATACCACCTTTGAAGTTTTAGAACAATACCTAAAGTTTGGGATTTTTTTGTGAGTAAATGAATACTTTATATGAAACTTTATTTTAAATCTGTTTAGAGGACATTATTGTACATATATAAGAAACTAAAAAAATATTTTTTTATTTTTCTTATGTTCAAAATGGCGGCGCACTGACAAAATCCTTTTTTTTTTTTTATCGGTTTACAGGATTTTAGATACACGGTTTGACCTTGAACAAAACACAAAGAATTTTCATTATCTACATATTAAAGATTAAAGAGATACGTAGGAATTTTTCAAAATATTGATTTTTCTCAAAATGGCAGCTATTTTAAGAAAGACTTGAACTGGTGAAAAATACACTTTTCTCGTAAAATAGCTGCCATTTTGAGAAAATCAATATTTTAAAAAACCCTTACGTACATCTGTAGTTTTTGATACGTAGACAATGAAAATTCTTTATATTTTGTTCAAGGTCAAACTGTGTGCCTGCAATCTTGTACACTGATTTCTAAAATTAGAAAAAAAGCATTCGACAAGTAGGCCAGTGTGCCATCATTTTGAACATTAAAATAATAAAAAAATAATTTTTTTACTTTATCATATATGTTAGTACAACAATGTCCTTCAAGTAATTTTTTAATAAAGTTATCTGTTTACCCAGAAAAAGGCCCAAACTTAAATATTATTTTAGGACCTCCAGGGTGGTGTAACCCCTTAATAAAAAAAAATCATATATAGAGCTTTTCCTATTACAAATTGATATCTAAATTGAAATGAATTCTTTAAATTAAAAATATTATATAAAAATATAATTATATATATTACAAATAACATTTATACTTGTATAATTCAAATGACAAATAGATATGTTATGGAATGATACCTATAGATATATTATTTGAAATATTTTCAATTTAAAGAATTCATCTTAATTTAGATATCAAATTTATATTAAATAATAATCTTTATATATAATTTTTTGCTAAAATTTAATTTAATATGTGATATTATTTCAGCTTTAAGTAATAATTGCGTTTTTAAAAACCGCCAATAATCGGCGCGCAATTTATGTTAGCTGACATTTAAAAGATTCAAAAATTAAAAATATTATTGGACAACCAACATCTAACCTTGGCTGAATGATTTTTTCTCTTATTACTTGTATACATCTATTTTACTTGCTTAAAATTATTGATAATTTAATTTTTATTCTCCAATTTGTCTATTTTGGCATTCATATTCAAGATTCATATTCAATATCATGAAAGATTTTTAAAAAAATTTTTGCAACAATCAAAATATTTCTTTAATTTTGACCGCCATAATTATATTAAATCCATTTTTAATTTGTCAATTTTGACATAGAATTTAGTAATTTTAAAAAATCCTTAAATTTAAATAAACAAAATTGAATATTTGATAAATTGTTAATAATCTAATCATAAAAGACACAAAAAATTTTGAAGAATGAAATATCCTAACAATGTAACAACTTAATTTTGATTGCAATAAAACTTCTTCAGCATGTCACATATTGTAATTATGATATGATAAAATACGTAAAAATAACTTTTTTGCAATTTTAATTGCAAATTTTTCAAAATTGTGATTCGATGGAACAACTTACGACCGGATTCATATTCCGCGTTCAAAAAAATTATGGAAAATGACTAGTTCTAGTGTTTTTTTACTGTGTAATTATTGTCAGGATATTTATTCATATGTCTCTATCAATTTTATTTATAAAAATTATTTTTTTTCAGAACGTTGTGTGTATACAACAACTGAGACATTTACTGAAACAGTTGGCAGATGAACACGCAACTGACGCAGTTAATACTATGATAAAAAATATATTGGAAAACGACGCGGCGCAATTAGGTTTGTTCATTAATGAAAGATTTGTCAACATTCCCGCCAAGATTTCAGTGCCACTACTTGAAAACCTAATTTCTGAACTAAAACGTGCCAATAGCAGAAATATGCCATTCAATTTTTCCTATTATATACTTATATGTAAATTGTATAAGTCCGAAGATAAAAAAGCCGAGAAAAAGACGAAAAGCAAGAATAAAAATGCCGGTAGTGAGCAATCGATAGTGTGGAGTAATCCAGAGGAGGAGATCTTTGCGGAAAATGCAATTGTTAGTTTCGAATTTTCCGTCGAAGAAGAAGCGGACAGTGGTTTATCCGGAACGTGGACGGAAACAGATGATGAGATGGTACCTTACAGACGAGTACTACTTTTTGAAGCTTCGAAATTGCAATCGATATTTGAGAAAATACAGAATCAGTTTTCTTAATTAGTTTCATAAATAGTGTCAATATTTTCGTAAACGAACGATACGGCTAAATCCTGTGCAAAAAAACTTCCTATTTATGAACAGATATCCTTCTTAAAGATAGTTTTTTATATATCTGCATATATATAATATAATAATAATATAACAGTACGTTACATTTTTATAACATATGTGTACAACACTTATACTATAAACTATTTCTAAGAATTTCACCCATACTTCTTTTTCATTATTTTGTCTTTATTTCTCTTAACATGTAACTTACAAAACATTTGCAAAATGGCCATTAATCTTGCATTAGATCTCGTTTAGCTTAAGGTTTTTAATACAAAAATTACTTTTACAGTCAAATAAATAAATTTTGGTTGAGCAAGACAGATCTATAAGAGAAAATGTACACGTAAAATAATAGAATATATTGTATTGTCACATAATGATAATGTATAATTTTTAACTCATCGAGACTCGTCGAGCTTTTGTTGGAATTGCAAATTGTATCCATTCAAATAATCCTCATTACTATGGCGCCGTGTCTGTAAATTTGAATGATTGCCTTATTGGTTTGGCTCTTCGTCTCATAGTACCAAGAATATTTAGCATTTCAGAAACTGCTGGCGGCTTACTCTCCGCTTCTTGTCGTCTTTTTCTCTCTTCTTCTCTTTGTTTCTGAAATCAATGTTCTCAATGAAATCAATCTTACTCAATTATGCATGTTAGAAATCGATCAAAAAAAATACTGCACATTTTGTTCAAAAACACAAACGTCCAGAAGACGTAAGGATTTAAAGAATGTTTGAGAAATTAATGTTACTTCAAACATATTTATCACGGGTGCTAATTTTTATTCTAAATATACTTAAGATCACAGCACTAATTCCGTACAAGGCTCACTAGCTCTTCTTTTGATACTTTGTTTAATTAATTATATGAGCCAGTCTGATATCTTTGTAATATTTATGACGTTTTAAATCCAACTTACATCCGTTTGCTTTAGTGTGAAACGTCCGCCTTTAATTTGATTAATAATATCGTCGATAGCTGAAAATTAGATACATATGATATTGCGATATGTATAACTTTCATATGTTTACAATAGAATAAAACGAAATAATTTATCCATGAAACAATAGATTGTATAATTACCGGGTTGTTGTGCGACCACAGGCGTTTTTTTCGGCGTGATGCCAAGCATATTTTCCATATCGCTTACAGCAGAGGTCAATTTTTCTTTGGTCAGCAATTTTATCGATGATTGACCGATCGTCGACATCGGCGGTGGTGGAGGTGGTGGCGGTAACGGTGGTGGTGGCGGTCTCGAAGCTTTCTCCTCTAGCTCGTTGATTTTTTGTTTGAAACACTGTACAACGTTTTCCAGCTCCTCCATCGATTTTTCGGCCCTCTCGGCTCTCTGAACAACTACCTCTAACTCGGACTCCGCAAGCTTCAACTTCTCCTCGACAATCTCGAATTCTACATTCGATTCTTTCTCCTCTAATTTCTCCTGTAACATCTGCACTTGAGAAGCATGATTTTGCTGTTCCTCTTCCAGTAGCCTTTTTAGAGATTCCACTTCTTGCAAAACGGCTAACAATCTTCCGTTCGGATCGTCTCCAACCTCGGCCATAAGAAGAGCGCTTTGATGTGCTAAGACGTTTCGTTCTTTCTGGACCTAAACAAACAGCCAGCGCGATATATGAAAGTGATTACAATCTTTAATACTCTTTAAATCATTTTTTATTTTTTATCGCGCACATTAAAAAATATATAGTTTTATTTTAAGACGATAATCTAAGTAATATAAATAATTTTTAAGTGAATGTAATAATTAAATAATGTATTTAACGAAATTAAGTTAAAGATCGTAATGACATACCCTTTCGGCTTTCATTTTCAGAATTTTCGCACTTTCTCTCTCGCGGTCGCATTGCGTCTTCAGAGTCTGCACCTCCTCGGCCACCATTTTCGTGACTCTTTCCATATTTTCCTTGTGCACTTTCATCTCGTTAATTTTCTCCTGGTCTGCAATAGAAACGAATCGGTTTACCGCATTTTGTTTATGCGAGATTATATGGAAAATTTTCTTTTATACCTTTTTGTCGAAGGATCCTTTCCTCCTCCAGTTGCGTGGTCAATTGCATCACCTGTTCCTGCGCTTCGAATTCCTGGAGCCGCGCGGAATGAAGATCCGTTTGTAATCGCGCTATTTCACCGCTCAGTTCTGAAAACGAATGTTCAATTTAGGACCGATTGTCTCATTATTGGCTGCCTTATTCTATTTTGTTTCTTTTGTTTAACTTCAATCATCAAAAAAAAATACTTGAAAAAATAACGTATGCACGTAGTGACATGCAAAAGAACTTGAGAAATATGCATACATAGTAATCTATATCTAAGATATATGTTAACGAGTTTAAAATTTAAATAGATATAGATTGTGGCTCGTAAGAATAAAATATTATTACTTTTTATCTTTATAATATTGTTACTTTTATCTTTTATCGAATATTCGAAGCTTCAAAGTTAACTTCGACCTGTCGAAGTTTAAGGTGTTTTCGAAACTTCGAAGTTTTGAAAAATTAAATTTTCTTAGATGTTTTATTAATCATTATTTTTCCTTATTTGCACATATATCAAGTTTAATTATTAATTTGTAATATTTCAGGTTATAATACTTTCAAATTTTTTAGGAATAATTTCGTATATATATTAATTCTTTTTATTTACAATATTTGTTCTGAATAAATTTATTATTTGCACGAATGTATTTTTCGAAACTTTAAAGCTTCGAAACAATTCGAAAATTTTAATGCCGAAGCTTCGAATATTCGAAGCTTTGAAGTTCGAATGTCGAAGCCTTCGAAGCAAATCACCAGCCCTAATTATAATAATTCAATAAATCTCGCCTTTGGCTTTGGTCATGTGTATCCCCTGTACATAATAAGCGCATAAATCAAATAAAACTGCAGCCGCACTGACCTTTCACTGTTTGTCTCAACTGGTCTAAATCTTCGAAGTTCGAGTCCACTTCGTCGGATACGTCAAAATGTAGCGACTCATCTGGATTACTATGTAGAAACTTCTGCGCCATGATCTGAGATCTTCGCTTCAGTTCGCGGTTTTGTCGGTACCACTAATATAACAAAATTGTATACTATTTCAGAACACCTATATGTATATCACTTAAGCAGTGCATCAGTACTTTTTATGTTACGCACATACGGATTATTACAGACAATATGCAGATTAAATTACAACAAATAGGTTGTTACCTGAGAGGCTTGTTGCATTGCTTTGTGCATTGCGTTTAATTCCACGTCATACTGGTGTTTTAATTGCTCGTATTCTTTACATACCGCTTCAGAAACTGCGGAAAAGGTATAAGAATTTGATAACTTTGGAAAAGATTTTCGACTATATTATGAGGTGAAACTTCAAATTAGCTACACACCTGTTCGCAACTTTAGTAGCTTCTGCTCTTTATCTTGAACCTGCGATTGCAGCACATTATTTTCCCTCTGCAGTTGTTGATATTTTTTCTCCAAATCTGTATGCTCTTTATTCGCTGCAAAAGATATTCGATTATGAAATGTAATTTAATTTCTATCATTTTAATTTTAATTTCTCCTTCTAGTTATTATATAGTTACGAAACGGCACACGGATATACGTGGGTAAAATGAGTCAGTTATCAAACATCGCGATTAAGTCAATCAGATTAAGGTCACATAATCCGTGGAATTATTGAGAAACGATTGATGATGTCACCGTTCGTTTCTAAAAAGAGTTCGCATTATGGAACAAAATTTCAATGATGATGGAACAGTCATCAAATGTGTATAAGATAGTCTTTTGTTCAATAAACAGTTCGAAAAAAGTAAAAAAATTGTACTATGTACACACGCGTTAAAAGTTTTATGCAGACGTTTCGTCAAGTTTTAATTGACATATTGTTTTCCTGTCTCTTCATTCTTTTTTCTTTTTGATTCTAAATACATATTATCTTCAAATATCTTTACTAAAACACTGACGCGTCGCATTACATGTTTATGCATGGCACGAATCGCTTCGTCGAAGCGACGAATCGACGAAGCGTTCGTCGATTAAATATAAATCGTATTCGAGCGACTTTGAGAAAATTTTTAGAACTCTGCTCGCCTTCGCGACGCGACCAGCATTTTAATTTTCGACGCCTGTCCTTTTCGCGTAAACTAGAACGATCAGCCCCTTCACTAATCGTCCGTCAATCGATGCAAAATAAACCGTTCCGAGAATACAGATATCCCATAAGTGATTCACGTCAAATATTTTGTCCCCGTCGATTTATAATTCCACCGCGTATAAACAGTGTGACTAATGGAGCGTCATTGCCTTCATTTTACATGCAGAAGTGAATCACGACATGATAATCGCCTATACACGACATTCTCAGTCGATTATCTGTGAACTGTGTGGTGAACACACTTTCCATTATTCCATTATTTATGATATTTCGTTGATAAAGGTCTTATAGAAAGATCAACGTCGAATCATTTAGTCAGCTCGGCACGCCCAAATATCGAAGGAATTCTTGAAAATAACAAAAGCGATCTTGTTTCCATTATTCAAGTACAAATATGTATACGTTTTATATTGTTTTATAAATAGTCGTTTAAAGTCACTCTCCTCACCTTAACAATTAGTATAAGGACGATTTAGTCATAAAAACGATATACGGACGGCATCGAATCGTTCGAAAACTATCACTCCAATAACGTAAACGTTGAACTTCAAAGATAGTTAAGATATGTCTACTTATCAATAAGTTCAAGATTTATATTTCCGAGAACTAACCATTGTGTCTAATAAGTACATCCACGTCGCATCAGTTATCTGTTTGACTATCGCGTCATTTGACACTTAATTAGTAATTACCAGCTTCGCTCTTCTGCAGCAGGTGTTTTCGCCTTTTCTCCGAATCCTCATATTTGCCCTTCCACTTGCTCTCCAAGAAGCTGTTACTCCTATTGAGCCGGATGACATCGCTTGTCTTGCAAGGGGGACTCATCGGCGGCGCCGACTTTTCCTCGGACTTTCGCATTTCAATGCTGGAAGTTGACAGTTGATTGTTGTTGCGCGACCTCAACTGTACGACTGAAGCCTCGAGCTTCTCGAAGGACGCTCTTTGAGCTGCGACATTGCCTGTTCCGCGGCCGAGCTTTTCGAAGGATCCTCGGCGCTTCGGAGGACATCTTTCTTGAGCCTTGAAAGCGGCCGATATTCTCGGCACCGGAATGTGAGAGTGAATCATGTTCGGAGACGTCCTCTGTGGCTCCGTGCTCAGGACAATGTTGAATTCCGTCCTATTCATGATGCCTGCGAAAATAGGCGCACTTGTGTTATCTTGTTTATTATAAGTGATAATGATGAAGTGTGAAAAGAATTTCAGAGTCTATTGTTTCTCGATCTGAGAGTACTAAGTCCGCGTATCTTTTTTCAAAGAGTACTTTTTTCAAAGAGTACAACGTATTATTTAAATATTTGATTTATTTTATGATAAAGTACGATGGGAATATAATTTTCTGTGACTTATAGTAAAAGAATCTTTCGCTATTATTATCGTTAAAAAGAAAGAATGTATAGATACATGTTTTATCGTACTTTTACTTCATTTTGTATAATTTTGTGTAGTAATTTTACAAGTACAATTTTATTATGATATTAAACACGAAATATATTGTATATTGATTCCGATAAATACATCGAATCTTATCGTTGAGAAATTTATGTTTGAGAATGATAACGCACTTTTACAAGTGTCTTGGATGAAGAAACAAAATTCCTAAAATGCATCTTGTGTACATAAATTCTTCATGAACAACATCATCGTTGATTCATTAAATTACATAAGCATCGACATCGGCAAAAAAATAAACGCGCGCCCCGATTAGATTTCTGGATACAATTACCCAAGAAACGAAACCATCCAAATGCATATCACTACCGGTACTTGTAAAGGTTAATAACATTGGACATTTCTATAAATAAACGTATTGGTCTTACCCTCGGCAAAGCAAGTTTAAAATAACTGCTGCGTCAAATATTCTTATACGTCTAATTCCGATTAATTCTGTACGAATCGTATATAAATTTATCAATATTTTTCATTTACGAGTACTATTGTTTTTTTATACTATTAGATTTGGATCGATAAAATCAATTTAAAATTATTACCTCAAAGGCTGAGATAATATCGCAGCAGATTCGTTACAGTGAATTTTAGGATGCTTATAGCATCATCATCGAATTAACGATTAAATTAATGTGTGATGATATTTCAATTTTAGATTATGATTGCGTTCTTAAAAGTTTGGCAGTAATCGGCACGCAGTTTACTATAAACATTAACTAAAATTAAAAAATTAAAAATATTATTAGGCACCAATATCTATAGCTTCGGCCGAATTTTGATGATTTTCATTATCATTTTATTGTATACATATAGCGACAAAAATTCAAAGTTATTGCTAATGTTAAATAATTCATAAAAAGAGAAAAGTTTTTTTAAAATATACATGTTTTATTAACTATTATTTATAATTTTATAACATCTAAATATATTATTTTATAATTTTATAACATAAAGATCATCGAACTAATAGCAGAATATTATACTGCGCTCAATTTAACCAAAACTGTAGATTTTTAAATAATGATTATCGCAATTATTACTTAGACCTTCAATGAAAAAATTTTTAAAAATTTTATCTATTTTTATCTGCTAAATATGAATTCGTTGTTTAAATTTGGCTATATACCTATATTATGTCATAATTTTGAGAAAAAAAAACATCAAATGATGAAGATTTTCATGACGTTACAATTTTGGCAATATATATATACATTTTCCTAAATTTTATTAATCCCCTTCTCCTCCTCCTCCCTTCCTACATACACACATGCAAAAGTATTAACTTTTATCTTTAAAATGCATTTCGTTTTGATACAAATTTTCTTCTTCGAGATATATAGCAATTTAAAATTAAGAAGATTATAAATCTTTCATATAAGAGATTTTGACTTAGCATAATCCGATTATATCATGTATAAGTACAAAATACTTTCCATATAATGCTGTGCTAATATACATATTAAGATAGAATTAAATGCCTTTCCCACATATTACAAAGGGAAAAAAGCTATTTTCTAATTGCTTTATCTCAAAAACGAAAAATCATACTGAAATATATGAAACAAAATGCATTTTAAAGCTAAACATTGATACTTTCACGTAGCATTAATGAAATTCAGAAAAAAATTTGCTGTCGATGTTATTAACGTCATGAGAACTCAAAATCATCATTTTTTGCCTCTGATGCCACATTTTTCAAATTGATAGCCAAATTTAGAGGTTATTTTTGGAACACCAAATTTCTATAAAACTATAGAACATATTTATAAAAAAAAGTTTTATGATCAATCTTCAATTTTGCAGGTCTGTGTTAATTATTGTGCTCGCGGATCAATACCTCAATGTGCTCATTGTTTTATATATAATATCACACTATTATAAAACTAGCAGAGAGAGATTAAAATATGTATTCTTGATAACATCGAGCGTACACACGCGTTCATTCACACCGCGAAATACGATTCCCGGAACAGAGGTTTGTGCGTTTCTAAAATAGGATTCCTCCAAAAGTTTACCCGAGAGTTTAGGTTTAGACGCACGTGTTCAGCTTCACGGGAGCAAAGGCAAATAGCTCTCCCGCGGGCCGTATAAAGTTAATTCGTCGGAATGCGCGTCTGTGTGTCGGGGGCTCGTGCGACCCGATCATTAAACCGGCGCGACGTCGACGAAGGGTCGAACGGTTTCGTCCGCTTTCCCTATAAACCTAAAAAAGTCCGCCAGGTGTTACAATCGCTTCGATAATATCTCGAGCGTAATTTACCATTCTGACTTCCACCAACGTCCCTGTCGCTCGCTCGTCGAGCGCGAAAGTCGAGAGAGGCTCGCAAAAATTCGCTCGACCGAAAACCAAGACCAGGATACTTGAGTGGAATACACAATTCCTCGGCATTCAAGATGTCAATTAGTCTTTTCATTTGCATTCGAATGCGTGCCTAAAGCAGGAGAGGCGTTCCCAGTGTTGAAATCGATAAACTGGGTTCTCAAAGCGCGCTTCAAAATAGGAGCACGCTTCACACAAGCGAAAACATACAAGTTATTTGGTACTCGATAAAATACTCGAATAAGAGATATTCATTAAGAAGCGCATCGAATTAACGCAATCGCAAAATTAATCTTCAATTCAATTACCATTTGATCGGAATTTAATACGATTATTTGGAGAGATATTTTGAATTAGATTTCACATCCGAAAGGCAGGCAAATAACTGATATATAAACAAAAATTTATTATATAGGTAAATTGATATATAATATTATATTATGTATTCTATTTAAAGCAAAAAAGATTTAATTTTTAATTTAGCACAACAAGACGAACGATTGTACACACTTTATGCCACGCTTATCGAGCGGTTAACGGACTTGCGATCTTTTTTGCCTCGCGTTTGCTACAGTATAACTAGTGTTATCGATCGTTGCACCGCACATTAATTTTATTACGTGTAGATACATTTCTATACACATGTACGACATAAATACTGACGTGCATATTCGACGTTATGCATTAGTAGAGTAGCGAGCCAAGTGTCCGATAAAATCCGACTGATAGCGCACGGACTATATAAAGTTTGCATATTCAGGATGTACCACGAAAATGCATGAGAAGATAGTGCTTCCAAGTAAAACGTACCTCTACACATGTCAATCACTGTGAATCACTCATAATTGAAATAATCAGAGAAACATACGTTGCGTTTAAAGAAAATTGGCAGAAAGTGACATGATGATTCGACAATTATGTTAATCTATCATTGTCAATTTATTTGAATAATATTGGCTCTTTTGAATATTATTGATCGATAATTTTAATGTTAAAGTATATTTTTGTCTTGTAACAACACATCTGTTTCGTTTAATTTTTTTTGTCTACGATTTAGTCAATTGTTTCTTTTTACTTAAGAAAGACTATTTATCAATTTATTTCTCCGCAAATTCAAGAGCGCGTTCATCTCTTTATTATTATTATAATAAATTAAACAAATGTCGAAATTCGAGAGGTAGTTTTGCAATAACAGGATTTTGCAAACCAGCGCACGCGACGTAGGTATATATGTACACTCGCTTATAGAAAGGTTGCAACATTTTTATTTTGATGGATTTTGGAATGCAGTTTTGCTCGTGGGCGATTGAACATAATTGGTTAGATCCATTGGTAGCAAACAATCGCTCGGTGAATAGACTGTGTTCCGAAAATGATTAAAAAAAAGTGTCGTAACCTTTCTGTGAGCCAGTGTACATATACGTGCGATCTAAATTCGATTAAACGCGGAATGTGCAATTTTCGTTTTCTTTTTTTTATACCAATCGCAGTCTACCGCAATTACGTCCATCAATTCGCTCGAGCAATTTAAAACAAAGGCCGTAGACTTTTAATTGTCAATCACGTCGTATACGTACGTGCGGCGTAGGTACTAATGGACTTTGGAGTCGCACGTCAGATCGCGATCGTGTAAGCACACCGAGGTCCTTTCACTTTACCTCTTTTGCATCAAAGAACGACGACTTGTTTCATTACTTACACGCGCGATGCATAGATCTCGAAGAATCGCGGATGCGAACAGAACGCGGAACAATATTCGCGCAACTCATACCGTCTCGCCGTGTCGCCGCGAATAATCGCGTGATAGTGCGATTACTTTCCGAAATCGCGCGGGTTCCCCTCGGGTCGGGATTGACTCGCAAAGAGACGATCGATAGCGGGTACCGCGAGATAAATCCCAGTAAACACAGATTATAACTGCAATGTTGTAATATTATAACACTCTAACTATATTGCAGAAATATTACAATATTGCTGTAATATTATAATTTGTGTTTGCTGCGAACGACAGACGGTTGCACTCACGCTTGTTCGTTGCACCACCACGTGAGGTCGAAAGTATCAGTTTCTCTATTTCCTTTCTTATTTTTCTCTCGACGAGGGTACGGCACGAGTCCCGACTCCCGCGCGCGGTCAGACTCGGATCGAGTCGCAACTCGCACGGCGAGAAACTCCGTGCGTGCGTTCTCCTTGACGCGCGTCCACGAGCGTACTGGCAGTCTACTGGCTCCGCGCGAGCGCGCGTGCTTCGTTGTAACGTTACATTATCTCTCGTGGCACCGCGTGGACTACATGCGAAAGAGAATGCGGGAGAGCGTCGTTTTCTTTAAGGAAAACCGACCGAGCGTGAGTCGCGCGCACACGCACCTTCCGCGGAGCTATAGCGTACCACGCGGTAGTCTTCGACACGCCGCTGAAGGTGCGTTTTATCGCGATTCGGATAGCGTGATGAGCATTAAAGTTCATGGCACATAGAAAAACGTAAAGCAGTAAGATGTAAGCAGTAAGCAAACTGGCCAATCACAGTAGAAAAACTTGAGGCAATAATCTTACATTCTCTACTGTGAATGGCCAATTCACTTACTGCTTACTTCTTACGTACTGCTTTACGTTTTTTTATGTGTTATGCACCAATTAGGGCTTATTAGGAATGTCGAACTTTATTATTATAATAAAAGGAATGTCAAATACCAAGAGGTATCATTGCAATAACACGATTTTGCAAATGAGCACGCAATACATACGTGCGATCTAAATTCGACTAAACGCGGAGTGTGCAATTTTCGTTTCTTTTCTTTTTTTTTTATACCAATCGCAGTTTACTGCAATGCCCGTCAACTCGCTCGCGGAATAATTTAAAACAAAGACCTCAGTGACTTTTAATTATTAATGTGACTTGTAATTGAAAGAAGATAGATATCACGTCATTAGCGGAGCGGCGATAAACTTTGACGATGAAATATTATTCGAAAGAAGCATAAAATGCGGGAAAGACAATGTCACAGATATATCTCGTATTTTTTAAATAAATTTTTATATCTCGCTCTTTAAGAATTTAGTCATCTTTATCATGTACCTTCCAAGAATAAAAGAAAATAAAACGCACAGTGTGTATCTTTATCTTTTTGAAGAAACATGTCTGAGTTGAAGAACATTATTCTTCAGCAATAAAAATTATAGCCGCTGTCATTTATTGATTTAAAAATGTTTTAATTCGTCTTTTCTTATTATTTTAACGTAAGTAAAAATTCAAAAAATTGAATTATTTCGAGCTGCTTCCAACGCATGTTTGATACTGCGCGTCTGAAAGGAATTTACGCAGTTAGTCAGCATTGCAGCTGAGTACACAAAAGGCGATCTGTATAGAGTTACAAATAATGAGTAAAAACTCATGTATTTATCATTAGAGCTGCAGGATTTTACGAATTATACATCGAGGTCTAGGGTACTAAATAAGTTTACCGAAAACTAAAATAGAAATATGTAATTGAAAAAGTATTAAAAAATATACGTGTAATAAAATATCAAAAGTAATAAAATCATGACAAGAAAAAATTTACGTTGTTTAAAACAAAGGAATTGAAATTGTAATATAATAGAATTAATTGTTAAAAAATAATTTTAAAAATAATAAATGTTAATAATAAAACATTATAGATTAATAAAAATTTTTTATTCGCTGAATTATTTATTTTTTATCAGAGCAAATCGTTGTCATTTAGTCAAGAATCTTAATCACTTTATTTAACATCATTAATAAATTATTGGATTAAATTATAATTGAAATTCAGAACAATAATTTAAATTGTAGTCGAATATTCTATAATATTTATTAGATACAGAATATATACATATAATTATCGCAATTCTATTGGATTATCTAACTGGAAATATTCTCCAGGTATGATTTGCTTCCTTTGCAAAAAGTTTCTTAAATTCTATACAAGGTTTTTTTATTTCAGTGACTGGGAATGATTTAATTGCGACATAAATACAAGTGTGTATCATAATAATGTATGTTACAGATATGTCTGAAGAATTCAATGCAAGATAACAACGGAGACATAGCGACTGTGCGATTACGCTGATACCAGTCTCGTCTCGTACATATGCAGCTGCATGTAGAATCGCGCGCGAAACTTTATATACCTAATATACCTCACGTATAAGTGTACGCCTGAGTCACTACTTCTGAATAATCGCCTGACAATTCTTTATCCTGCATAAGTCGTGGAGGCGCATTGTTGTCGCGGTTTCACAGGAATATATCGCGAAGGAGATGCAGTTTTGTTTTGAATTGCTATACGTATGTTACATGCATAAGTATATGGCTGTGATATGTAAATTTGAGGGAGAAATGAGAGAATCAGTTTCGTTGCGAAAGAGATTATTGCTTTAGTATTTTTCAATAATTTTACGAAAGCATGTTCAGTATAAGATCGAGCGCGCCAAGTGTACAAAAACTCATTTGCTTTAATTTTTAGGACTTAATTTAAGTTTTGCATCCAAATTGTATCATAATAGAATCTTAATTTGAATGGATTAAAAATGTTAAAATTCATAGAGGAAATCAGGTGAGTGCACAGTTCGCCATAAAAATTTTTGGAAACGACGGGAAATGATACGACTGTTGGATCATTTTTTACGTAAAACGGAGAGTCGACCATTATAAGATAAACAATTAATAGCAATCGCGATTACGTGGATCGATGATAATCGATGTTCCATTACGAAGCGATAAATCTTCACGTTTCTGGGGGAAAGGGGATCGGTATAAAGAGAGAGAACAGCACATCTACATTACGGAATACTAACAAGTAACTACGCAGAAGTGATTTGCCGCAATTGTATAAAGTCTATAGGAAAAACTAGGCGTGCGAACTATCACGTGGTTCATGCATTGGAAAACGTACTTGGAAACCGAAAATAAAGCACGATTCAATACTTTCGTTTATAATCTGATGTGAAAAGATGCAAACATATCTTCTTCCTTTAATGGTCAATTATCTGCAATATGTATTAATTATATATCAATGACAATTAATATTAAATTGTTATATTATTACATGTATTTAAATTAATACATTAAATGTTAATATGATAAATTAATTTCTACCGTTAATTACTTAATGTATATTAATTGATGAGTGGACTTGTACTTTCTCAAGAAGATTAAATATTCACAATTCTAATGTCTTAAGATATAGATTTGAGAGTATCAGAAATTCATAATACCAGATTTATATATTTACTTTAACGTTTATAAATTATATATGTAATCTATTTATCAATTTGTACTCGATCAAAAAAAGTCTATGTATAACAAAAAATGTGAGATTAATCGGCCAAGGACGAGCAAAGGTAAAAGTGACATAAAATAACTAAAAAAATTCAATTTTAATAAATAAATAGTTTAATCTAACATTTAGTCACATAAGAAAAGGGGGGGGGAAAAGATAAAAATGTTCGACACAATGAAATCACAGCGTGCGCCGATAATATATATGCCATTTAATTCTCGTACCACTATAGTGGTGGTGGATTCGACATTTGTACAGTATCCATTGTTTTAGGTTTTATATATTCTTTTTATATTAGTTAACTTAAATATATCGATATTAATTTATTATGTCCGTTTACTTATTTATTTAAATTTTGATCTTCAATTTTACTTATTGACTTTTTAACTTCAACTGAGGAAGACTCTATGAGTCGAAACATTTTGATTTTAACTACACGACATTAAACTATTTATTTATTAAAATTGAATTTCTTTAGTGATTTTATGTCACTTTTACCTTTGCTCGTCCTTGGCCGATTAATCTCACATTTTTTGTTATTCAAACATGAGCTTAACATTATAATTAATTAAGTCTACGTATAGAGTCTTTCAGGACAACAAATTCAACGAATCCGACGATCGGTATTTTTGAAAATGTGCAACAATCTACACGGCGATTATTGCAATCAGTTTAAAGGTGGTTATTTTGAGCACTTTGTTATAAAGGCAGCTCCATATTATTAGAATATAAATATAACTACAACTCGGAAACAAAATCAAATGGGGCACATATTTATATGTATATATAAACTTGTATTATTGTCTTTCCTGTTCATTGTATCTTCTATTCACCAGTGAAGTAGGTCCCACATATTAGGAAACGCCGTACAGAATTATATAATTATGGGTGTTTCCTAACATGTGGGATGTGTATATTTATATTTGATTATACATATATGTATACTTACATATGTTTTTATAGGACATTATATAAATTACAATGACGCTTATAGTAAATGCAAAATATCAATTCAAAAGTGAGGCATGAGCTTGCTTTTTATGTTAGAATTCATGAAGAAACTTCAGAAATACGTACAGAAGCTCTCCGATTTTATCGACAGAATCTTTTAGACAAAGAGCTCGCGAAGGAAAACGCGACGATTATTATTTGTATATATGTATGCACGCGTGAACGAAGTGATCGGCGCATCTTTTGCGACTTCGACAAAGAGTCGCGCTTTCGACCGTGTCTGCGGTGCCTCTCGAATTGCGCGGACGGTGCCATCGTTAAACGACTTTATTGTCTGGAATCATGCTCCTGCTTCCCTTCGACGTGGCTGCAGAGATGTATGACTCACGCTCGTCACTCGCGTAACGGGTGTCCTGGCATTCCGTCGAACCGGCGGTCATGTGTCATGGACTGGGTTATCCGGTGTTCGAGATTACGTCGAGGAAGATCGAGTATTCGAGCTGCGTGACTCAGACGGTACAAAAAATTCTAATGGACGGCTCTAGATCAAGACATTCTTTCCTTGACTTTTCCTCAAACCAAACTCTGCCATTGTTCTCTGAGAAATTAAAATTATTTTAAATCTACATTATACATATAATATATAGGTAACCAGGATTCACAAGAAAATATAAGAAGATTGTGAAAAGATTTGTAATGATAATTTGTAATAGAGACAATTTCTCTTTTCCTCTCCCTCTCTCTCGTAATTAATATCGAGAAAAAAAATTTTAATTTTATTATAAAATAAAATACATTGTTGGTATACTTTTAAATGATTCGACTTTGCATTGTTCACGTTAGTATAATGTTAGTATGCGGGCGTCACGATGCTGTTGCAACGTGTTACGCGCTCAACCGGAGAACTGATTTTTGCGAAACGCCTCGATTATGATGCGACGCACTTCCTGAGCATATTTTAACGCCGGATAATACAGCCATTTTATGCTGGTTGGAACGAGATCGCAAACACGGCGAAATATATGCATTTGCAATTTGTAGTAACTGCTCCATCGTTAATTCTGTTTATTGTCAAATAAATAGAAATTCATTCCGATGTCCGACACGAATTACAAACCATCCATTAATTAAAGCGAGCCTAATGCGAAAAATTTTTAAAAATCAGAATATGCACATGTATAAAATATATTGTAAATTATAAAAAATATATTAAATGCTAGGCTAGGCATATAAAAATTATAAGTAGAACTCTAATCTAAAATTTAAAAGTCTTTTCTTCATAGTCTATCGTCTTTGTTTGATTTTTTGTGGATCGACAGATATTGTTCACAAAAGATTTACGGAAACAATAATTATAAATTTGTGACTGTAGATCGTGAATTCGATTTGATAAATCAGCTTCCCGATTGCGGGACTTGCCCGCATCCCAACAGATGTTGCGTCACTTCATGTATTCTACGTTACTACGTAGTATAATTTATTTTATTTAAACTACTTTTTTTATACTCACGTTCTATTGTACGTATAAATGGCAAGACCAAAATGGTAGAAAAACTCTATCTATACATATAAACTTGCACTTGAATGAGATGAGCGAATTTCCATTACGTATTCTTATATTGCTTTAATAAAAAAAAAATAGACAGCGCCACGCTATGCCGGGAATGCTTGCGCGCATCCGGCAAATTAATATTTAATTGATATCCGCACGACGGAAATGCAACGCGATGTAACGTGCGAGCGTGACGACATTCGCTCGACTTCCCGCTTACGATCGCAAGCGATAGTTTCCGGTACTCTGTTGTCGATTAAATCGATTGCCAGCAGTTCTGCCGAATAAGCAAATCGTCTTGGAGTTATTAAATTAAACACGCGACAGGAATAAGTAAATTATAACTCTCTTCTCAATTATATTTTTGTCTCGTTTTTTTTCCTCTCTTTTTTTTATCTTTAATTAATATATATGGTATATATAATTTTATTTTTGAAAACACAAGAAAATATAGTTAAACAGCTGTCCATATTCAATTAGCCATTCAACAAACTTTTTTCTATTCAGTGTGGCTGAGACATGTGCTATTGACATACGCTTTTTTTTATCTTATCTAAGTAACAAGTATTAAGTTACTTGGAATGGTTCAGCGATAATTTATCGTACTTGTTCTAGCACCTAACAAAAACTGATCAGTCCATTAGAAAAAAGTCAAATAAAACTCAAACAGGAGAAAATAAAAAAAAACAATATCTGTTGCAGATTATTTAGAATCAATTAACAGATCTTACGTAATTTTTTCATCGTAATGCGTCCGAGCTTCTCTCTCTCTCTCTCTCTCTCTCTCTCTCTCTCTCTCTCTCTCTCTCAATTGCAATCTAAAAATTTTTCGTTTATTTATATCGTGAGCCCGCGGTATCTATCATTAGACAACGTTCACTACAATTTGCTTCGCTCTATTCGCCGCTAAAAATTAAAAACGGGCTACGTTGTCGCTCGGCGTAGCGTGAGATGCAGGAATCAATAATTATCGTGCCGCTACGCGGTACGCGTCCCCAACGGATCAGCGAGTGTGCAGTGGGCCGCGTATAGAACCGGAGCGGAGCCAGAACGTCTCCATCTCCTCTCCGGTCCGGGTGTCTCTCGGCGACGCCGACAGACCGCGCGCGTGATTCGTGCACTGTGCAGCTTGCACCCAGCACCGCGCCTGTCCAATCCTAGGCAGGTCCGATACGCTATACAATCTCTATCTTTCTTCCTCTCTCATCCAACAAAGGAGCGCACCGAGGATAGAGAACGTTGAGGATCCGCGTGGGAAACTCGGCCCCGCGATTCGTCACGATTTCTCTCGCAGTCCTCGCAGATCGAGAGAGATCGTTCGTCAAGGAACGAGGACGGGAAATCGGGAATGCGTGCCGCTCGCGATTCGACGAACAACGCCGAGCGTGTCTCCCACGTTACTCCACAATAATCGTCGTCTCTTTCTCCCTCACCGTTTTTTCTCTCTCTTTCTTTCTCCTTTTCTCCTATTACTCTCTATCGCGGAGATCGCGCGGCTCGCGAACGATGGACGTGACAGTGCGATAAGTTTGACGGCGACTCGATCCCCCCCCGGAGAGAGTGCGAATCTTCTCGTCGTCATGACGCGTCTACGGGGCCGTGCGTCGCTGATGGTCGTCGCAACGATCAGCTTCATCCTGCTGGTTGTCATATATCACATACTGAGCAACGAGATCGACGAGATGTCATCGGGCAAGATCGGCGCGCGTCTGAGAGCTGAGGATGTGTATCCACCAGGTGAACTCACGGCGGGCGGCCCTCAGGGCGCTGCCAGAAGGCAGCAAGTAGACGGGCAGATGACGGGTGATTTGAAGAATGGTAGGAACAGACTGATTAATGAGTTAACTCACGATAAATCGTTTGCAGACGGTACTCCGCTGTTCAAAGGCCATAAGATCGTCCACCTAGATCTAAAAGGTGCCCCGCCGAAGATGAGCTATTACAGCTATCTGTTTCCATTGCTGAGAAAGCTGGGTGCCACTGGAGTACTCGTAGAGTACGAGGACATGTTCCCGTTTGCCGACAGTATCGAGGACATACACGCCGGCAACTCTTATTACAGGAAGGACATTGTGCAGATTCAAAATATAGCCAGGGACAATCAATTAATTATCATACCGTTGATACAAACTTTCGGTCACATGGAGTTTGTTCTCAAGTTAGACAAATATAAAGATTTCAGAGAAGTTCCACGTTATCCGCAAGTCTTGTGTCCTACGTACAATAAGACATTACCATTGATTTATGAAATGATAAATCAAGTTGTGTCTGCTCATCCGACGTCAAAGTATTTGCACATAGGTGCGGACGAGGTTTATCAGATAGGGGAATGCTCAAGGTGTTTAGACGTCATGGCCAAGAGGCAGTGGAGCAAACGACAGTTGTTCCTGGATCATGTTTCTGCGGTGATTAAATATATAAAGGAGAAATATCCGGAACTAATTGTACTTATGTGGGACGACGAATTCCGTGATATATCGCCGCAGGAAATTATCGATAGGGGCCTCCACTCGATGGTGGAACCGGTTATTTGGAAGTACACCACCGATCCTGGCATGACGCTAACGGATCAGCTGTGGGAAAGTTACGCCACCGTGTGGAAGGAAGTCTGGGTCGCGACGGCGTTTAAAGGAGCCACTTCGCCGGACAGATACTATACAGACATTTCGTATCACATGGAGAATCATCAGCGTTGGTTAGAAATCATTCAGAAGTATTCGAGTCAAATCACATTCAAGGGCGTTATGTTGACTGGATGGCAGAGATACGATCACTTCAGTGTCCTTTGCGAATTACTGCCAATGGGATTACCATCTCTAGCCATTAATTTAGCTATATTACAAGCCGCAGATGTAAACGCCTTTCCTGTAGAATTACCCGATCGTATATCCGAAGCTTTACAATGCGATGGTATCGTCTCGTTGAGCATACCAGAACCACAGTACGGCTGGACCAAATGCAGCTTCCACGGAGTATCGGTATACGCGGCTATTTTACGTCTTTACTCTCTGACACAAGAAATAACGAAGATGGAGCAAGATAATACCTACAAAGGATGGTTAAAGTCGTACAACATCAAATATTCTTTCGCCAGCCCTAGTTACGTCGAGCGTGCGGTTACTGATTTGGATAGATATAAAATGGAAATAATATATATCGAGAAAGAGATGCGTACAGCCATGGAAGATATTTACGACAATTATACGATGCAGGAGTGGCTTGACACATACATCGCACCTGTAAACGAAAAGCTCAATCGGTTATGGGAAATTAAGGAAAAACTTTTAGAGAGAAATACGTGGCCAAAGAGACCTCTCACAAAATCTGATTTATAGTATAAAACGGCATGCGCTTGGAATAAGTAGGCGAAAATATTCATGTTCTTTGTGGTAATACGAAGAGACTGAAAAATTTTATTAAAATAATACGACAAAAAGAACGCGAATTTTTTCGTGAATAATTGCGAAAATTTCTTAGCAATTATTATTTTTAAAAACAGCGTGGATAATCAGTGAAATGTAAAAATTTTGAACTCGTAATTTTACATCTCGAGCAATCGTTGTACAGAACATGTGATAATCTATGTAATTTAATAAGAGAGGTAATCAAATCATAATTGCACCGTCCGTAAATTAGTAAATCTCGTTTATCTCGACGGAAATAATTGCATTATTTATAATATAGAATATAGACTAATAATATTTCTTACTTAGGTCACAGTTTAGGAGAACTATTTGTATATAATTATTCTTTTTCTTCCAACGCTCTGAGAAACAAATCTTACACAAACAAATTATCAATGTTTTGCGTGATTTACAGAGATAGACGGTGTATAAAGTTAGATAGCGTAATCTATTGATAAATATATTAAAACGATACAATATAATTTTGCAGCATTAGAATAAATAATTTATTGTCATTTATTAAGAAGGCTAGATCTCAAATTATTATGTTTTTTAGATTTTAAAAATTATACTATATTATATACATATATATACGTAACGCGTATGCATCTCTATATAACGTGGATTATGTATGCAGTTAGTCTTTCCAATCATGTACGCACAGAATGCTCTCTCTTTGTCTTCTGATTATAAATGAATTATCTGCGAACATCACATTTCACTAAATGTTTATCGAAAAGATATTGGCAATTTAAATTTATGTATATTGATTTACGCGTATTAACGGCAGTATCTGCCGCTTTAGTATAAGCAGAAAATCGTGCCATAAACAGATGATTGCAATGTTATGCCCCAATTAGATAAATTTTTCAAGGTTAAAAGATTATTGTACATGTGCTTGAATTGAAGGTTTTTTATAAAAGAGATAGCAAATGAGAAGAGAATGTTTTCAATTTAAAAATATTTACATCTATGGCACTGTGTAAGAAAATCATAAGTGCTTCTAATAATAATTGTTTGTAATATATAAAAAGATAATACGGAGTATCTTAGAAATTCTTTCGATATTTTTAAAAACGATTAAATTCTTTTATTTAAAAGAGATACTACACAGATCTTCTTTATTTAAAATGAAATTTTTGTCATTATAACTTTTTTTTATATCGAGTCTTCAATTACGTTACATCCGACAACTTTTCGATGAACAAAGCTTGTAATATAATAATTAACAAATCTTAGTAATTCTGAATTCTTCTGTGAGCTACTAATATATATATATATATACACACACACAATATGCCTTTACATCATAGGCTTTGTTATTATTAATTATTATTTCGTAATAATTCTTACTATTATAAAAGTATTTTTAATGTTGTTATATAAATAATATATTGCGCGTGTAACTTATAATTACCACACAACTAACGAGATGCGGTTAATAAAATCTGTTTTTTCAATCTATACAAATTTTGTAATCATATTTATCCATTGACCCCGCACTACATAAATATAATTTTTATTTTCATCTACGTAGTGTATAAGTTGAATGTGATACGATGCACAAATTTCGTACATTCACGCGCAAGACATACAATTGTAAAAAAATACATTCTCGATACTGTGTTCTATTTGTTGAACACATTATTTATGAATACATACGCACTCAAATGAATGAAATTTATACCTATATATAAAATTGATTGTGCACAGAGATTGACTAACATTATGTATGAAATACGGTATTTATTATTTATTGTGACTGTAATTGTATAATTTTTGTTGAAACCAATAAATTTAATATGTATATTTGGCTAAATTTACATAAAAAAGAGTATTCTAAAAATGTCCGATGATTATCATTGCAGTGCACACACTGCGGATTTCGAGGCGGGGAAATGGGGATGAAATACAATTGGGTGTTGCTTTTTATTAGGAATCCTTTTTACGACTTTGTGTATTGAATTCACATCTACTGTGTCCCCAATTTCAGCGATAATGATAGGTTTATGAAAATCTTGATCTGTTCTTGTTAATCTTGTACCCAACACTTGCGCCGCTAAACCTGCTATGCATAAAGATACCTAAAAGTAAAAATCTTTAGTTCTCGTGTTGATATATAAATAAGAAGTCATATTTCTTGCACTCTTACTTTCAAAGTGACAACTTAAAAAATTAAGTTTCCTAGAAAAGGGGAAAACTTTTTCAACTTGACAGAAAAAATTATTAATTAATCAAATACCTAATATTGGCAAAAAGAATATGTACACGGAAATAATGATTTTGCTGAAGTAAAATTTAACATACAGATCTCCCTATCTAAGCTAGATACAGATCTGAAAATAATTTTGTTAGACTATTAAAATATAAATTAGATAGCGTAGGACGCTCAAACGTCTCAAACATAATGAGCAATGTTGTAAAAAGTTTTGAAATTTTGACAACTATAATGTTTAGTGTTGTATATAATAATTTTGATGATTTAACAAAATTATTTTCAGATCTGTATCTAGCTTAGATAGGGAGATCTGTATGTTAAATTTATCTAGCCTAAATAGGATTGCCTTATCAACATTTTTAAAACTAGAACTTACAGGCCAAATGGCCCGGACATTTCGCTTGCAACTCTGAACGTATACAAAAATACATGTATAGGCTAATAAAATATTGGTCGGAACAATCAACGAATAATTATTTCACATCTAATTGTTAAGTGTGAAATAATAGGCGTAGTGTAGTGTATATGTAAGTATGTGTATAGTAAACTTTATAAGAAATTTACCAATCATAATCGATTATTCTCTTCACATTATGCAACTATATATGTTTAGGTTCATTACACCTATTTTAGATCTAGACTAAAATAGAGTAGCGCAAAAAGAGTCGAAGCAAAATATTTATTAGAAGAAATTTCTTGAATTTAATCTCTCGGCCGCTCATATTTATTTCGGACGCCTTCGAAAAATTCCCTGGGGATGACTTTCCGGATGGCAATCCTACATTTAGCTAAATTTTTTTAGCAAAGCCTCAGCAAAACCGTTCTTTTCGTGCGTATTCTTAAATACATGATCACAGTTTTGTCAGTAAGACAAAAATATCAACAAAAGTTTTTGTAAGTTAAGTTCACTTTTGATAGTGGATTTGATAAGATAATAATAAGATAATAATAAATAAGATAATTAATAATAATTTTCATTCATATAATCAAATAAACATGTTTCATTCATGTAATCACCTGTCTCATTCAAGTATAAATAATTATAAATAATTAAAAATCACATTTTTTTAGTTGTATCACTTTTGAAGCAAGAATGCGATACAATACATATACAATTTAAAAAAAAAAATTACCGATTCTCCTGTTCTCGCAGACATATCGTGATAAGGAAATCCATTTTCCGCAGCGAATCGATGCGACCTGTCTCTCTTAACTGTTCTTTGATGTTCCATGTCACATTTATTACCCACTATCGCTATTAGAGGTATTTCATCGTAAGCGTCAATGAAACTCTTAACTTTACTAAGCCACTCTTCCAAAATGTCGAAACTCGAGCTATTGGTGACGTCGTACACCAAAAGAATGATCTAATTCATAAATATACATCCGATTTATACAACAATGTACAATCGCAGTGCACGAATAAAAGGCATGTTGATATTAATCAAATAATAAAATTAATGAAAGTAAATTACATAGCAAGATGAAATTTTTATTTTGGCAAAGTAAAGGCAAAACGGTAAGTCGGCCTTACGTGTGCTCCGAAAATGTATTTGTCCAGCATGTTGCCGTGCAAGGCGAGCCCGCCGACGTCCCATAAATGCAGATTGACATTTTTGTAGTAGCCGATGCTGATGTTCTTGAGGAAGAAGTCGATGCCCGCAGTAGGTACGTACTGCCTGGTGAAATCGTTGTTGCAAAACTTCTGAACGATACTAGTCTAAAGAAGGATCCTTGAATTTCAATTATCAAGAATGATAGGCGTCGCGATAGTAACAATTAAGTATATTACGAGACTTGCTATCAATAAAATTGACAGTCACACAATAATTGCCGAACGATAAATTGCAGTTAAAGCAAATATATTTGCTTATTGCGTGCCAAAACGACCACGATCTACTTAATTTTTAATCACAGTTTATTTATTTTTAATATATGTATTATTTTCGGTAAATTTATCATGATTAAAATATATTTGTCGATACAATGTAATAAATGTAAAATTATATAAATAATATGTATAAAATTTATACAATTTATAGTGGAAATATATAAAAAAATTGTGCGTTTTCACAAAAATGAATACATCTTATCTCTTTGTAAATGTGAAAGTATATTAAATGGAAATTTACAATGACAAGAGCATATTTTATAATTTTTATGTAAATGTATACAATTTTAAATTTATGTAAATGTTAAAATTGTACGTAATTCGTTCACAATTCATGTGCAATAAATTTAAAATTCAAGCTGCTTAGACAAATTTGATTAATGTTATTATATATTGACTAATGTTATTAAATGTATTGAATAGTGAAAATTAAAGTCTTATATATGTATGTAAATATTTCTATAAACTTAATTTCAATTATAAATTGACTTTTGCGAATCGTTTAATTACTATAAAGAAAAATAATTTTATTTGTAAGTTGTAACTTTATTACAAAGATATATAACTATAATAGTGGGTCTCAAAATTATCCATTATAATTGTAGTAATTATATACATGTAATACTTTTACAGTGTATAATACAAATGCGATAAACTATATATGATTAAATTTAATGCTGAATAAATAGAAATTGTGCCGAAATATATATAATAATTTATTCCGAATCGCGTAAAAAATGTCGCACGAGTGCCGATCATCTTATTCTTCTTCGACGTGACGTTTGTCATTCTGCGATATATAAATACGAAAGAAGGGGAAAGAGAATGGCTTGCAAAGGTTAATAAATTCATGCTTGACCTACATAATTAACCTCATTAATGCAAAAATTCATCGATTAGAAAATTCGTCTCTACCAATTTGCTTTATTGTTCTGTCATTGGCAAGTCGAGAGATAAACGGTAAACCGCGAACGTCGCATGTTGCGAAAATTTCCCGCATTGGATTCAGAGGCACGAAGTCGCGGAGGCCGGAAGCCTCATCGATCCTAGCTCGCGTATTACATTCATCGTTAATCTATATCGCACAATACGCGGCCGTACATTTATTACGGAGAGAGAAACATATATATAGTTACTATACTATAGCAATAAAACCGTGATATATAATGTTATCACGCGAGTAATGTCTACAGCAATTAACCACGTAAATAGTCATATAAAGATCCGCAGAAAGAACTCGTTAACGTCCACCATCCGCACAATCGTTACGAAAAGAAAAGACAAGAAGAAATTTATTAAGTATTTACTCTTTGCGCAATAACACAAAGCCCATCCCTGTCACCTGTTGAGGGACTTTTGCTATATCGCTTTTTCACCATGGTGATCGGCAAACAAATTTAAACGGACAGACACACGCTGATAAATATCCCCCGTTGGGTCTCGAACACCCGAAATTAGGGATCAACCACCTCTCCGTTGGAGATCGCGTCTTGAAGCGATAAAAAAAAAAGAACTCACTTTGCCGGCGCCGGAGTCACCCACGAACACGATTTTCAGCCGCTTCTCGGCCGACTCCTCCTCGACGTCCGACATCGAGGACGCGACAACGATGCGAGATAAATTGTCGGTAGTCTTCGGTGGTGATCATACGAGCGGCATGACTCGTCCGTCGGGACAGTCCTCGGCCGACTATAATGGCGCGGCATGGAATGTGGCAGTTCGCGTGTTGTGGCCGACGAGCGAGGTCCGAATCGACCGGTAGTGGTGGCCAGTATGGCATCGTCGTCGTCGTCGTCGTCGTCTACTCGCGGGCATGAATAAATTAACGAATAATCGATAGCAGAGCCACGCCATCGCCAACGTGCGTACCTCGCGGTTAGTAGCGGTTCTGACTATAAATTAGGATATAAATCTGACAATGTTGACGACGACGATAATATTGTGCGTATAACATTTCGGAAATGATGATGACGCACCTGCTTTGACGCTTCAGTTCTCACCTTTGCGCGAGCTCTGATGCTCGGGCAATTTATTAAATATTTATTAAATTTAGAAGCGAATGCTGTTCAGTACGGAAAATTTAATGTTTGCAATATTAAATTACAATTTGTTTTATGATACAATTTTGTCTTTTTATCACGCTAATCTACATTAATACTGTCATAATAAAAATATCGTATTTTTTATACAAATATTTTATATTATACTTTGTCGTTTTAATTTTATTTTAAGCACTTTTTCATGTCAACGAAGTTTTATGTCGCAATAAAACACTTGTAAAGCACTTGTAAAACCTATCATCAGCATACCTCAATTAAAAATTAGATCCTTATAATTTTGCAAAAGATAGTAATTTGACACTCTGCAACACGTGATCGTTCTCACAACTGTAAGTCGATCAGCTCGCTCGAAATTTGCTTTGGTGACTTCATAATAGCGACCGTCGCTAAAACAAAAACAATATTTTATAAATATCGCTTGTTTTATAGATCATTATATTTATTGTCTCTGTCTCTCTCCCTCCC